ATTTTTAGATAATCTAGAATGTGTTCCTCATCACTGTCTACTGTATTCATATTTATTTCTAGTAATTTCTGCTGTTTAGCAAACATAAAACGCGACCAATAGAAGATTTTGCTCGCAGGATTTTAGTTAGAGAGGCAGAAAGATAACTACTTCATCAGTGTTGTTCTTGCAAATCAACCTGTCAAATACTGCTTAACTACAGTACATAAACTATTTCATGATTTATATCATTTGAAGGATATTTAACCATCCTTTAATTATAATCTCAGACTTATATGGCTTCATTTTTATAATCCTTGATTTCGTTATAAATAACAACATTATCATGTAAAATGGCTTCTTTATCAATAGGATATAAATGAAAACAACAGAAACAATTGGTTTACAAAAACAAACAAGTTTACCAACAAACTGCACAATTTTATTTTACATGCGCCCCTCACCCTAAGCAAAGGGCTCTAAGACCCAGAATGCATTCAACAGTATCTTACTAAGCAGGATATTCTGCATTTAATCACCCAGATACACAATGTCTCAGATTTGAAAAACTAGTTCCAAAACAGAAAGATGTGATGTGTAGCAGAATGACATAAGGTATAATCTTTAAATGCATATCTAGTATAATGGTCTTTAAAAAAGAAAACCCAAGCAATGTGAAGATATAAAGATGGTCAAAATCACTGACATTAATTCATTCAAAAAATCTTTTTTATATTTTCCCAACTGAGAAAAATATTCTGATTCTGACAGGTGATCTTCCGCAACCTCATTACAGGTGCTCAACGAGTTGTCCAAAATATCATAACCAAGGCCACCCTTTAACCGAATCACCGGCTAAAATATGCAAAACCTACAATATTTGAGACATCGCTTTTCTGTCATGTCAATCATAATATTCTTATAGCGGGTAAAATCTAGAGTAAGCTCTGTAGTGTTATTAAACATGTTAAATAGATGGATTGATATTCAAATATGTCCTCTGCAAACTATGCATGCTTCCTTTCTCTAGTATTTGCATTTGAAATGAATTCATTCCTTTTCAAAGCTTTTCAGTTCTGTGAATGTGAGATGATGATGGACTCAATGGCATAGCTATTCAGTTACTGCTAGATCATAAGAGAGAACTTTAACCCTAACAAGTCTACTGAGCCACTTTAAAGTAGGTCAACTTTTGTCTAATTATTGAATATTATAAGCTAGGATATTGTCATGTATATTCAATATATTATCAATAAAAGATTTTTAAAATGAATGAAAATGAACATACATTATACTGGCAATCATTATAATTCTATTTATTCTTGTGCAACTGACAATACCAGATACCACTTAATTATTGGTTGTTTTATTTTATACAAACAATCTTTATTGTTCATTATAAATTTTTTTTAAATAAATAATTTGCAATAAATTCACATTAATTCATTTTAAGAGTTATGATGATGGCAGGCGCGTATCGTGGTCATTTTGCAAGGGTACGCCCCCGTATGTGGATGAATTATGTGTGAAGATGAATGCGATTTTTGGCGTATGATTTCGTTCGTGCAGACCTACCATAGGTTCTGGGTCGATATAAAGATGGCAGCACCAAGAGTCAACACTACACCAGACGAAAATAGAGAAAGTCTTCTGCACAAGGTCGTGCGAATTTGGAAATGCTCTACACATAAGGGCTTTTATTGGCTTAATCAATGTAGTTAAAGCTAAATCCACTTATCGTACGGTTTAAATGATTAAATTACTTACATTTAATAATGTCAGGTGATACTCAGGTTTATACGTACTGAATTTGCTGATTTTGAACGTGTACTCTGCCGGGATTCGCCATCATACCCCATACCGAACTCCTATGCAGTGTCTCGGTATAGACACTGCGGCGGGCAATTTATGGAATCCCCAAAATTTGGGGAAGATAGTCCCCCTTTTTGTCACAGATGTACTTGTTTTTCACACAACTTATAAAAAATATGTTCTTTTATGTTCACCAATAATTATTTTGTCAAAATATTCCAAAATCAATGAAATACTGTATAAGAGCAAATCCCCGCGGAAGGAATTCTGAGTAAAAGTTGTGTTGATAAAAGTTTACCGCACGTGTTGTTTATTAGTTAATACGCGCAATTCAACCAATGAAATTGTCTAAATTTTACAATCACGCGACCTGAGCATGGGACTAGAACCAATCACGTCAGTTGTTTATTACGATGTTACCATGCTTACGGTGAGACACCTGCCCGCCGCAGTGATATATCACTGCACGGGAGTTCGACCCCATACGGCCTTGAAGAAGCGTACAAGAATGACGCAACTCTTTGAATCACGAAAAAATTTGAATCTTTGAATCACGAAAACAGTGAATGGCAATGAGGGAATCGAGAACTTATTGTTAATACACTTGTACAACAAAGGTTTACACATCATCAAAGAAAATAACAGTAAAATACTGAATTTCATGTTTTTTTCAAAACCTTTTTCAAATTCAAACAGTACGCCTGGGCGTATTTTGCGTACATGACGATACGCGCCTGATGGGTTCTTTTTCACTTTCAAAAAAGTATGGTCAGAAATATAAGGGTTAAACTAATTTAAGATGCCATAAACATAAGGATAATGGCAGACTAGAATTCATTAAACATTAACATTTTATTCTTCTTGACGAACATAAAGACCATAAACTAGAGCATAGACTGGTGTATGTTCAAACAGCCTATAAATGTATTGGGAAAGCATGACGATCAAAGTAAAACCAGGTGAAATATATTAGGTTTTTGAGATTTCAACAAATATCCTATTTGTGAATCAATGCCGTTTCTTCACCATTTCCAAGGTGTTTCTATGGACCGAGACTCTAATTATAGACTGATTTCAAGATTTGAACATGTTGGCACTTTTCTATGGCTTACACAGGAGATCCAACATATAGCTTACATTAGTTAAACCAGCCAGGGAAATATCTTACGGAAAGTATTGTTTTCGATGCAATATAGAAAGAAAACACTAGAGAATTAGTTAAAAGAAAAGTGACAGACACGTAGGCTGCACTTTCATTGATATAAAAACCCCGATAGAATAAACATCTCATGTCAAATTTAAGAGGTTTGAGCGAAAATAGATGCACTCGTGTGGTGTATTTTTTGAGGGACACCAGGCATTAGTCTCGCTCATACAGAGTTATTTTCAAGATGTTTAGTGAGAATTCAATCCTTTTCAAGTAGTTTCTGATTTTCAGAGGCCTTCAATGACATTAAATCCAGCAGAAAACATTGGTTTCATCTTCCACGTTTAGTTTAACGTTATAAAGTCTCTTTTATTATTGAACTCTAAAGAAATATGGTGGTTTATTTGTATATGCAAACACAAATACCTTTTGAAGGTTTTGAGTACATAAAACTTGCCCGGCTTAAAGAAAGACATATAAACTTTTGTCATGTTCATAGCATGATGAGATAAAGCAATTCTTGTGAGTTGCCGTAGTTTGTAATATGAAAAGGTATTGATGAAATAACCTAAACTGTAACAAAGAAATACTCAAGCTTTGAGAAAATAACATAAATATGAATGTAAAATATTCTTAACATTGAACCTGATGAAAAAGGATTGCCAGCATTCATTATTCAGATGTATTATTGAATAAAGAAGATTATTTATTCATATATTCAGATGTTGCCGGAATAACACAACTAACCTACCGCATACACATATTCTCCTAACTTCAAATGAAATCAATGGTGCATATATGTAAACCTAAAATTATCATGCACAAAATAATTCCTATGAAGCATGCAAAATTCCAGATAACTCCTAGATCTTCAAATTAATAATTGATGCCTGCCACCCCAAAAAATTAAATGTTTACGCAATCCCTATAAACCATCTCAAAATGCACTAGGTACTTACATTGTATGTTGAGACTTGCTTCAGTACTTTTCAATCTAAAGCGTGTAGTCGTATTTGTTGCGATGCATCTAAACGCGCCTGTGTCTTCCTCTTTTGAGACATACACAAATCGCAAATTGCTATCATCCTGGTATCTCCTAGTCGTATTGACGAGGGGCCTATTATTCAAAACCCAATGAAACTGAATGTGTTTTCTATTGTTTACGCCACATTCTAAAACCGCTTCTTTACCATCTATTACATCTTTATCCACAGGTGATGGATCATAATAAAATGTATCCTGTGCATGTGCTACACCAACTGAAAAAGGTAAAAGTATATTATGGAGAATCATAGGCTTTATAGAGAAAGTTCAGATATCATAATCATGGTTCGACAAAAAGTTTCCTACTCCAAGAACATTTCACTGGGATTCAATTCCTCTCTAGATCTAAGAAGGGGTTTCATTTAGTTCATCTATGTATTCAAATTCTAAATCATTGCTTCCACTAAAGTATAACAGTAATTAGAGGTCCATGATAATAGATTTACTGATTCAGAAAAAGATGAATCAAACAAAAACAACCATAAGATTTCTACACACAAAATGCAATGAAGCCAATCTAAAGGTGTATTTGATCAAACTTTCCATAATATATCAAAATGTACTCACCTGCACATAGTATAAACATATACACAAACGCTGATGTAGTCCTCATTTCTGATATTTGTAAATTTAACATTTTGTAACACAGAGAATCCACATTTCAACTTTCCTAACACATGGCTAAGGCTAAAGTGATCTGCATTGGCTATATTGTAAGCAAATTACGCATTATTTGTAAACAAAATAAATCCGCTTGAAAAGTTAGTAGTCAATAAACTTCTTATTCCTCCTGATAATCGGATAACTAGAGTAAGTGTGGATGCTGGAATAAGTTATCATACGTTATAGAAGTGAACTATTCTTGTGCGATTTGTGCGTATCCTCGCAAAGAATTGAAAATCGATTGAGCTTTGAAAATGTTTCATCCGCGGGCACCTGCCAATTTTACTACGCTCCGCCCCTTTTGTCTGATTGGTGTGATTACCCGAAATCTTTCTTCTGGTGGCTCATAGTCAGTTCAACATCCGGGAACTTGTTGCCAAGAAACACAATATCTGAATTTCTCTAAAAAATTATGAATAAAATGCGTTCACACACCGTTTGAGATTAATATATCACCAGATCACCACTTACAAGGTAGGTCTCCAGTTGTTGTACGCGTTGAATGTGATTTTACCAAAAAAAGAAACGGGTGTTTAACCTCTTTCAGAGCAACAAATTTTTTTTTAAAAATCAAATTTTTTGAATTTTCTGCTTCATTTGATCAATCAAATTCTATGGTCATCATAATCGTTGGATTCATTGATTGTAAATTATTATGCGTCCCTTTCTATGTTTGATAATGCTTTAGCTTCTATGGCTCCCATTGGTATGCCTCCACGGTGCTCTTCGAAATTCTTGCCAGCCTGCCATTCTTCGCAGATAACAGTTTTAAAATTCAGAGATATACACCGATACAATATGTATGTGTGGTGTTATATATAACAAATCTCCTACACAGTATGATTCGGCATCCTGGAATAGGAGACGAGAGCTACATGTATATATGGTATCATTGTTCCTCTATTGAGATCCCGGGATTGAGATCAACTTACTTGTATTTCCAGTCATGTGAGGTATCTTGAAGCTATCATATATCATATAGTATGCTCATTGGCTTTAAAGCCCATTGTATGATATATAATTGTCTTGGTACTCTAAATATGATTCCCGGGATATGATTGCACAATTCATGTGTCCTACAGTTTGCAATGAATTATATTTTCAGGATGACAACTCTAACATCCCCTGATGGGGAGACTGCTACAATCAATGCACGTCGTACAGAATCTCTTGATGCACCAAATATCTTGAAGTTGGTTCAGCCATCTACTGAACAACTGTTTGGCAGAGTTAATGTTGTTAATCTTATGTAAGTACATGCACAATTTAAAGGTTGGTTTTGATTGTTCTGTGTTCATAAGACATTATCTAAAAGGAAACTTTGACAATCGGGCATGTGTATAACAAGTTAACAACTATTATTTCTGAAGTAAAATGGTGCCTGTTCTTATAGTTCTGTTATAGATCTCATTCAAAACACATTTTTGCCTTGCCCAAATTTTAATTAAGATATGATTATGCCACATAATATTATATTGTCCAGTTCGTTGTAAGTTTTACTTTGCCCATCCAATTTTTGGATCCTGGTTATACCCCTGTCAATGTTTGATTTATTTCTGTTCACAGAGAAAAGGCAGTTCTTGCAGTAACACTTAGCAACGAGGATGATGAGTTACTGGCTCATGCAGCATTTTTCGACTACCCGAATGTACCAGGTGTCGATCAAGCAGACTGGCAGGCCTGGATTAACAAGTACTACAACTGTGATTTAAGCACACCTCTCAATACTTTATTTATGCACTACTTCGTGGCAAAACCTGAGTATGCACGAGGGGCAGCTAAAGAGATTATACGGACCATGTATAATGCAGTACCAGATTTGCACTATTGTTATTTGGTTGTTCCTCAAGGAGTTTACCCTGGTAAGTGAATTAGAATACATATACCTCTTTCCAAATCTTTTGCTCAAATTTTAGGGTTTTCATTCATTTTGAATTTTTGACACCAGGTCTTTTTAAAAAGTAGTTTTGTCTAAACAGATGATTCACAAATAAGGGCTAACTTAAAATCATGCATTTTAACTTGAACTCTAGAAAATGCTTTGGAGGATGCATTTGCCATCATGGACTTGAAGGAGGGACAGAGTAAGGCTAGGAGCCCTTGTATATTTGAGGTGTCTCGAGAAGAATATTCACAAGTATTGCATATCCGGGATGCCAGGTAGAACACAAGGGTCATGGGTTACTATTGTGTGCAGCTTCTAGATGCTTGGTGTTTATTATTACATGTATAGCCTATTTCTCAAAAGTATTGTAGATCACAATTTATGAAATCTGACTATATTTCACAATGTAACTACATGGTCTAGGAAAACAATGAAACCTACAAAATAACTGTGAAATGGTCCAGAAATCTGACTATGCTACACAATATATTTATGGCATGGTCTTGGAAAAGAATTGAAATCCAAAATAAATCTGTGAAATATTTCATAAAGTGTGTATAAATTGTATTTTATGATCTTTTTGAGAAACTCCTTCCAGGGGAATCAAAAAGTAATTGGACTGATGCCATTACTTTTTGAACACCATATAGTATGCATATATAGGCTGTGTTAAAATGTCATTGTGATTGTTATTTTTTGTTTTGCTCGAAATGGGCTGGTATTTCCATAGACTATTGGACATGGAAATAATATGGAGCCTTTCAAAATATGTTTTCATATGATGGTTACATTCACAAGACTAATATAATGTAAGAGATAGACACTTGATACGATGATGATGATGAATGTATTGTTACAACATTCAGATTTAGTTCATGACAATTTCTCTTCCCCTTTACCACAGGTGAAACTTCATCTCTTTACTATTTAAATTTGATTTTTAAGCTTTTATGATTATAGTTATCTTAGCTTTTATAATTGTAGTAATTTTATTGTAGATGCATTTTGACGATATGGGATTCCAATTGCTTTATAGATCACTGAGTTGCGAAACATTCACTTTCTGCACATGTTATAACACAGCTATTAGAATTGTGCAGGGAAAATTGAAATTATGGGCATAAACACGGAATTCTTAGGAGCTATACACACACTACATAGATTTTATGAATGTGGCATCATCCCTCACATTCTCTGTCTATTTTCTAACAAGGGCTATATGGTTTAGGGTGACATCTATCATTGTATTAGATATTTATTTACATTTTCGCATATTTGGTCTTCATAACGTTTATATTACAATGACCATTCAATTCAAAGATGTGTTATATAAGGGATTATGTAAATAAATGTAGTATATATTCATAGATGTCCCCCTGTACAATTCCATTACAAAATATAGCATGTAAATATATTTCCAAGGAACCGCAGATGCTTAGTTAATTTCTTTCTCTTGCAATGCATTCTCTGTTATTAGGAGGCCCCGACAGGGGGCCTCCTATTAATTTTATAGATATTATTATTAGGAGGCCCCGACAGGGGGCCTCCTATTAATTTTATAGATATTATTATTATTATTATTCTTTATTTATTTATTCTTCCTAAACCTTTTTCTCCTACTTCCAACTACCTTTCAACTATCTACTATATGCACCTACTAGGGACCTTGGCTGAACTTGGGGGGAAAGGAATTTTTATCTAGGTCAAGGTCAAAGGTCAAAATCTAGGTCAAATCTAAGTTTTTTTCAAGTTTCTCAAATCCTGACACTACACTTCAATATTTTTGGCTGAATTTTTGCATTCAGATAGATATTAGTATTCTATTAGTCTTAGCCTTTTGCCGTCTAGAGACATTTTGCCTAGATTTTGAGATATTGAAGGTCAAAAAAAGGTCAAAAAAGGTCTTTTTTCAACTTGCTTCAAATTGACCAAATTTTTTTTTAAAACTCATCTACAAGTTCTCAGGATTCCGAATCTGACCTTACTTTTGACCTGTGACCTTTGGTTGACCTTCAGTGACCTCCGAAAGGTCAAAAAAGTTGATTTTTCAAATCGATTTTCTGGATTCAAATTTAGGTATATTTATTCACAAAAGACCTCCTGAGGTCTAAAAAAGTAAAATTTGCAAGGTCAAAGGTCAAGGTCATCAAACGAAATCACAAACTATGTTTTCTAAGTTTCTCAAAATTGGAGACTACAAATCAATTTTTTTTACTGAAAGTCAGAATATATATTCCTCTAAAGGTTCTACACATATTAGCAATTGACTATTTATTAAAATTTTGCTTCAGTTTTGAGATATTAGAACTCAAAAACAGAAAAAAGGTCAAATTTCGAAATTTTTCAAGGTCAAATTTCAACTTGCTCTAAATTGACCAAACTTTTTTTTAAAAAGCATCTACAAGATCTCAGGAACTCAAATCTGACCTTAATTTTGACCTATGACCTTTAGTTGACCTTCAGTGACCTTCGAAAGGTCAAAAAAATTGATTTTTCAAATTGATTTTCTGGATTCAAATTTAGGTTTATTTAATCAGAAAAGATATACTGAGGTCTAAAAAAGTAAAATTCGCAAGGTCAAAGGTCAAGGTCATCAAACAAGATCACAAACTGTGTTTTCTAAGTTTCTCAAAATTGGAGACTACAAATCAATTTTTTTTACTGAAAGTCAGGATATATATTCCTCTATGGGTTCTACACATATTAGCAATTGACTATTTATTAAAATTGTGTACCAGTTTTGAGATATTGGGACTCAAAAACTGAAAAAAGGTCAAATTTCGAAACTTTTCAAGACTAAATTTCAACTTGCTTCAAATTGACAAATTTTTTTTTAAAACTCATCTACAAGTTCTCAGGATTCCGAATCTGACCTTACTTTTGACCTATGACCTTTGGTTGACCTTCAATGACCTCCGAAAGGTCAAAAAAGTTGATTTTTCAAAATGATTTTCTGGATTCAAATTTAGGTATATTTATTCACAAAAGACCTTCTGAGGTCTAAAAAAGTAAAATTTGCAAGGTCAAAGGTCAAGGTCATCAAACGAAATCACAAACTGTGTTTTCTAAGTTTCTCAAAATTGGAGACTACAAATCAATATTTTAAATGAAAGTCAGAATATATATTCCTCTACTAAAGGTTCTACACATATTAGCAATTGATTATCTATTAAAATTTGGCTATAGTTTTGAGATATTATAGCTCAAAAACTGAAAAAAGGTCAAATTTCGGAATTTTTCAAGGTCAAATTTTTACTTGCATTAATTCGACCAAACCTTTTTTAAAAGTCATCTACAAGTTGTCTGGAGTTCACATATGACCTTGTATTAGAGATTTGACCTTTGGCTGGCCTTTGAATGTTCAGAAACGAATATAGGGCCTCCGTAAGATTGCTTGCAATCTTAGATCGTTAGATCTCTAGTTATTATTATTCTTTATTTATTTATTCTTCCTAAACCTTTTTCTCCTACTTCCAACTACCTTTCAACTATCTACTATATGCACCTACTAGGGACCTTGGCTGAACTTGGGGGGAAAGGAATTTTTATCTAGGTCAAGGTCAAAGGTCAAAATCTAGGTCAAATCTAAGTTTTTTTCAAGTTTCTCAAATCCTGACACTACACTTCAATATTTTTGGCTGAATTTTTGCATTCAGATAGATATTAGTATTCTATTAGTCTTAGCCTTTTGCCGTCTAGAGACATTTTGCCTAGATTTTGAGATATTGAAGGTCAAAAAAAGGTCAAAAAAGGTCTTTTTTCAACTTGCTTCAAATTGACCAAATTTTTTTTTAAAACTCATCTACAAGTTCTCAGGATTCCGAATCTGACCTTACTTTTGACCTGTGACCTTTGGTTGACCTTCAGTGACCTCCGAAAGGTCAAAAAAGTTGATTTTTCAAATCGATTTTCTGGATTCAAATTTAGGTATATTTATTCACAAAAGACCTCCTGAGGTCTAAAAAAGTAAAATTTGCAAGGTCAAAGGTCAAGGTCATCAAACGAAATCACAAACTATGTTTTCTAAGTTTCTCAAAATTGGAGACTACAAATCAATTTTTTTTACTGAAAGTCAGAATATATATTCCTCTAAAGGTTCTACACATATTAGCAATTGACTATTTATTAAAATTTTGCTTCAGTTTTGAGATATTAGAACTCAAAAACAGAAAAAAGGTCAAATTTCGAAATTTTTCAAGGTCAAATTTCAACTTGCTCTAAATTGACCAAACTTTTTTTTAAAAAGCATCTACAAGATCTCAGGAACTCAAATCTGACCTTAATTTTGACCTATGACCTTTAGTTGACCTTCAGTGACCTTCGAAAGGTCAAAAAAATTGATTTTTCAAATTGATTTTCTGGATTCAAATTTAGGTTTATTTAATCAGAAAAGATATACTGAGGTCTAAAAAAGTAAAATTCGCAAGGTCAAAGGTCAAGGTCATCAAACAAGATCACAAACTGTGTTTTCTAAGTTTCTCAAAATTGGAGACTACAAATCAATTTTTTTTACTGAAAGTCAGGATATATATTCCTCTATGGGTTCTACACATATTAGCAATTGACTATTTATTAAAATTGTGTACCAGTTTTGAGATATTGGGACTCAAAAACTGAAAAAAAGGTCAAATTTCGAAACTTTTCAAGACTAAATTTCAACTTGCTTCAAATTGACAAATTTTTTTTTAAAACTCATCTACAAGTTCTCAGGATTCCGAATCTGACCTTACTTTTGACCTATGACCTTTGGTTGACCTTCAATGACCTCCGAAAGGTCAAAAAAGTTGATTTTTCAAAATGATTTTCTGGATTCAAATTTAGGTATATTTATTCACAAAAGACCTTCTGAGGTCTAAAAAAGTAAAATTTGCAAGGTCAAAGGTCAAGGTCATCAAACGAAATCACAAACTGTGTTTTCTAAGTTTCTCAAAATTGGAGACTACAAATCAATATTTTAAATGAAAGTCAGAATATATATTCCTCTACTAAAGGTTCTACACATATTAGCAATTGATTATCTATTAAAATTTGGCTATAGTTTTGAGATATTATAGCTCAAAAACTGAAAAAAGGTCAAATTTCGGAATTTTTCAAGGTCAAATTTTTACTTGCATTAATTCGACCAAACCTTTTTTAAAAGTCATCTACAAGTTGTCTGGAGTTCACATATGACCTTGTATTAGAGATTTGACCTTTGGCTGGCCTTTGAATGTTCAGAAACGAATATAGGGCCTCCGTAAGATTGCTTGCAATCTTAGATCGTTAGATCTCTAGTTTAAATAGATATAAGGGTTTTGAGGAATACCGACTTATTCTGCAATCAGTATTTACAGCGTATTTACAGATTTACTTTTCTCTTTCTCGTAAGCTTTCTTGGTGTTGTAGTTAGTGGACTTCTTCCCTCTGCTTATAGATAAAAACATTTCTGATTACTTCGTACCCATTACCCCTATTGATGGAGAACTGTCAGCTAATGGCTTCTATGTGACTGCATGCAATAGATCAGAGCACGCTGCTTCGCTATTTGTCCGCACGGCTAAGTATGATATTTCCCACACGCTTATTATCCCATCGAACGAAGTTCGGAGGGATATAGGGAACGCCTCCGTCCGTCCGTCCGTCCGGGCAATAACTCAAATACCGTTGGCCCGATTTTGTTCATATTTTGTACACATATACCCTATGGGGGTAGAAGTTCTGCTCGAAAGGCGATTTTCAAAATGGCCGCTCATTTCAAAATGGCGGCCATTTTAGTGTCGATTTTACACTAATTTAGGTGCAATATATAAAACTGTAATAGCAATATGTTTTAAATGTAAAAAAATTATAAAGGACATTAATAATGCTACAAATGTAGATATTAAAGAAGCGCATGGCAGCCATCTTTAAAAATGGCGGCCTTTACTCGTCATTTTACGATTTTTGCTGTAACTCAAAAAATAGTGGAGCGATTTTGTTCATATTTGGTATGTGAATACTATAAGCATTGTACACTGTCTAAAGACACTTTTGGTAGAAGGCGGCCATTTTGAAAAATGGCCGCCATTTTAACGTATTTTACTATAACTCGAAAAGTAGTGGAGCGATTTTGTTCATATTTGGTATGTGAATACTATAAGCATGGCACACTGTCCTATGACATTTTTGTGAGAAGGCGGCCATTTTGAAAAAAAATTTGAAAAATGGCCCCCATTTTAACATATTTTACTATAACTCGAAAAGTAGTGGAGCGATTTTGTTCATATTTGGTATGTGAATACTATAAGCATGGCACACTGTCCCATGACACTTTTGGTAGAAGGTGGCCATTTTGAAAAAAATTTTGAAAAATGGCCACCATTTTAACGTATTTTACTAGAACTCGAAAAGTAGTGGAGCGATTTTGTTCATATTTGATATGTGAATACTGTAAGCATGGCACATTGTCTAATAAAACTTTGGGGAGTAGTCGGCCATTTTGAAAAATGGCCACCATTTTTATGTGTGTTATTTTACAAGTACGTGTGCGATTTTTCAAAAATTTTAGAGGTGGCTACTTAAAAGCATATTATTTCTTCTGATGACACCTTGGCAAGTGAGCAACCATTTTGAAAATGGTGGCCTTTCTGGTGTGTTGTTTTATGATATTTGCTATTCGTTTGTAAAAATGCCAGCTATCTCTGTTCGATGGGATTCGCTACGCTTTGGCGTTGCCGTTGTTCTGGTTTAATATTTTGGGCAAAATCCACAACCAGTCATAGTTCGTAAAAAATTGTTAATATTAGCCAGTTAGAATTTTTGAGATTTGATTTCTAAGCCTCAGTAAGCAGAAATAAGTATAGAATTAAAAGTATTGAATACCTTGAAAATCAATGGTTCAATTATACAGTTTCAGTGTATGTTTAAAGAATACTTTGATTAATAGCCTCTATATTTGTAAGATTATGATTTAACAACATATCTGATATGTTTGTGATGTTGTAGAGTTGAAGATCATGATGACCTGACACCTATCTTTAATCGCCAGAGCAACATGCTCCAGCGCACATATGGGGACTTCTTTCTTGCGGAATTAATAGAGGCCCAGAATGAACACATGCAATGTATTGTGGCAGAGGTATGACTCATTTATCAAGATTTGGTGGAATATTGTAACGGTCACCTTTTTGTGATTGCTGTTCAGCATTTGGTGTCTGTAACAAATTGTCACACTTTCTTAGAAATTGCAATTTTTTGATAATGTGAGAAAAAAATTGTTGAGCATTATAAAGAATGACCAATTAGAATTGCATAATCTCGTTCTTTACAATCTCTCAAAATAATTTTGATAATTGGTGGGTGGTTCATTCTGCAGTAGCACATTTTGGCACACTTTATTGCTGTAAATAATTGGTTATTTTATTTTATGCATGTAGTACATGATATTAGGTACCAGTGAATTGAAACTTGGTGATTTATGTATGTTATATTTTAACACATGTTCATATACTTTGTATTACTATGTAGCATGTTAATTTAACAGGTTGAAGGGACTGCTGTTGGGTTTATGAGTGCTTGTGATGATGTCAGCTTAGATCTGCTAAATCAGTGCTTTGAACTCGGTCCATTCCATGGCCTGCATAAGCCTCATGAGAATGATATCCTTGAACCTGGCAAGTCATCTCGAGTCAGTCCAGCACCCAAGGAGAAAGAAGAGTCTCGACCTGCTAGTGTGACATCACAGCACTCTGTGACATCACAGAATGGAAACACAGATGCCCAGCAGGTTGATAAACCAGACTCTCAACCAGCTGAAGAAGGGACAAAGGTATTAAGAGTAACTTTTATGTATACTATGCCAAAGAATTTATCATGCATATCTATGGCATGCCTGTATCCTCTTTACAATGAAAATTCACTTTTGACATTTCTGTTCAAATAAATTAATGACCTACAGGTATTTCCCTCCACGCTTAATTCTCCATCTGTTAAAATATAACCAAATAAAACTTTTATGTTTGTGTTCTGTTTATGTCATAGGTGAAACCTGCACTGGGAGATGCAACCAACATGGGACAGAGCACAAGTTCTTTACTCAGTGAGTCAAGTGTAGCTGAAAGTATCAAATCTGCAGCTGAAAGCTACCACTCTGTGGTCACATCTAAGTCAGCACAGAGCCAGCATGTAGGTGGACACTTGTATTTGTATTTTTGAATTATACTCTTATTCCATTCTGTTATACTCAGCTGACACTGTGGCTGAAGAAAGCACATTAATAGTAATAATCACTATGAGTTGATGACAGGGGGGATAGCTGCATATAAATGTAATTTTTGTAATAGTAGTCGTATAATTTGTGTGTAGTCACATGTATGATTGTCTCACTTGTTTGCAATTCAGTTTCACACAAATCGAGCAAAAGTCATCTTTGCAATTCAGTTTCACACAAATCGAGCAAAAGTCATCAAAAAATATATATTTCAAGATTTAACCTAGGTTTGACCCTAGTTTACCCTAAGTTAAATATTGATCCTTGTTTTTTTTTCTTCAGTCTAGGACATCTTTAACAGGTTCAGGCAGACAACGTACCCCACTGAAGGCAGCGCCCCCTAAACGCTTTGTACCAACATATTGCGGCCCCAGCAACAGCTTCTGTATTCAGTTATTCTGTATTGACGAAAGATATGAAATGAGGTAAGACAATTTTAAGTCATATTTAGGGGCGGGGTCAAAATATCGATGTTCATATGGAGACGAAAGTTATTTCGTTTGGACAACAACCCCCCCACCCCCCCTCTAGACGAAAGCTTAGGTCACTTAAAAAAAACATTGATTTTCAGTGACTGTCAAATGATTTGGAACCCGTGATTACATTGATTTTTTTTTTTATAATAAATACTCTTTATTTCTTAAAATCATAGATACATTTTCATTGTTATTCACGGCGTAATCGCCCTGAAAGGGCATTTCTACTGCCGCTTTAAGTGAATTTAAAATACAATATAATATAACATTTAGTCAAAGTCATTATTAGAGTAAGAAAAATATATAATTTAGATACTATCTGTTTTTCTACCTGTCTGTACCCCCGATGGTGCCCTGAATTTGAATTACTGTTATCGATTATTAAATGAAATTCAAAACTGCCTTAAAGATTTTGGAATTGTTTTCATTTGTCAGATCTTTGTCGCCAAAAAGTAGGAAATTTGTCTTATTTTTTAATGTTTTGTATTTAGTAACATCTAAGTTTAGTTCATGTTTAACCACCGCTAGTGCATTTGTTTCTCTAAGAGGGCAGGACAAGAGTTTATGCTGTGCTGTCTCTCGAGCTCCACAGTCACAATATGGATCGTTAATGAAAGAGAAATTATGGTCAAAAAGATCGGATTTGAAATATCGATTTACTCTTATCTTATTTAGTACAATTTCTTCCTTTCTATCAAGATTCTGTATGTAGGAGGTTGAAATTGTAGGTTCGGTGTTTTTGGTGAGGTGATCGTTTAGTTGTTTTTTAAAAAGTGAGAAGCTGTTCGTTTCCTTGTGGTTCCACAAGGTTATCATTGAGCAAACTGTTCCCGTTTCCATTTTTTTACTAATTGAGGCTGGTAATTTGTAGTCGTTGGTTGTTCTAAGAACTCGCGTCTGAGGTGATTTATATCGTTCGAAAATCCGTTTAACGTAAGATGGTGCCAAATTGTTATGAATCTTGAACATAACGCGCAATTTATGTTCATCCCGTCTATTTTGAAGATTATCCCAATTTAATATTTCAAGGGTTTTTTCTGTGCTTTCTGTGATTACATTGATGAACATGTTACCTTTATACACCGATGATATATTATTACGGTGAATTAACACACGTTCGCAATTTAACTGCATTGAACTCTTCAAAAGGAGGAGGGAAAAGTACGGAATTTATTTGAAAAATGATCGAATTATCGTCGTTATCTACCGATATTTTGGACCTATCACACAAAAAAGCTCACGAACTATTGAAAACAAGCCTTTTTATCAGAACATAGCGCCAGAAAAAGTGGGTAAGTCCAATTAATTTTTGTATATCAGATCCGAATTATCGATGTTTTTTTGGTCAACAAAAGTGCCCAAAAACCCCCTCCCCCCTCGCGAAAGTACTTTCGTCTCAATATGAACATCGATATTTTGACCCCGCCCCTTACTAATATTTTAATTGAAACTTGATTGTAGTACTATAATCTTGCAGATACAAAGGTTCAGAAATGAAGTAAAATAATATTATTTAGGTTCAGCCCTTTGAATAAGGTATACATGCATTGAAATTGTATTAAGGGCCCACCCGGCTTCACAGAGTTCAAGAAATATCGAGGAATGACCAAGTATTAACAAATATATCAGAAAAAATCAAATTAATTACACTAAAATGCAGAATACATGACACATTTTGTAAATCAATGCATCCTCCCGATGAATATCTATCAGTGGGTGCTTCCCACATCATACAAATAGTCCATAATGAATGAAGGAAATGATAATTAAGGCATTTTTGGCAAGAAAAATTCCCATACATGAAATTCCCGGGGATTTTGACTTCTCTCATATATGGGCGCTCTTTGTAATGGGTTACAATGGTAATTTCAATTCAAAAGCGCCCTGGGTGCTTATTGCGCCGAATATGGTATTCATTTTATTATTTGGTCTATAGATATCTATACCACTAACCAGAATACTTGTATTTGACGGCTGTATTTGACTGCTTGTGCATACACATACAACCACTTTCCTTTATTATATAAAACAATTTATTTGTAATTGTTTTACATGTCAGTGTGGCTTCTACCCTGCTCGTAGAGTCTAGTTATAAACTAAGCTCTCTTTTAAGATGCGAAGTAAATGAACAAGCGAACGAATGCAAAGGGTATGGCTTCTGTACCTCTTAATTATTCAATTTAATATTTATTTTACAGGTCACAAGATTTCCTTGGCAAGTTGTTTGAGTTATTTCCAGAGAGGGATTTTGCAGTAATAACAGTGCCACATCTAGTGCCTGAGTTCCCTTTGCTACAGGGATTTGTTGTAAGTTGTATGTTTTCTTTAAAAATTGTTTGGGAAATGGAGCACAGAATCAAGAAGCATTGAATTCCTATCACTTATAGATAGGCCTATGTGAAGGTCTTGTTTACTTTTGAGATTGGAACAACAACTCATGCAAGATTAACTGAACATGTGACCTATAGTGTCACATATACTGAACCTAGATGTGACATCCAATGTCATAATGTTACACTAGTTGAACCTAGATGTGACATCTGATGTCATAATGTCACACTAGTTGAAAATAGATGTGACTTGTGATGTAATGTCACACTTACTGAATCTAGATGTGACCAGCAATGTCACAACTTGTCAATATGTATCTGAGCCAATAGTATATAACACTGCATATAAAGGTACAGAGTGGCCTGGTAGGTGGTGAAAAAGTAGCAAGTATTAACAAAGCCCCACTAAAAATACAGATTGAGCATCTTAAACATATAATTTTATGTAAGTAATGATTTTCCAATGTTATTTTAGAAAGCGAAAAATAAAAGCAAAGTTATGCCTATCGAGGACATAGACTTGCTTGAAATGAGCAAAGTAAGAAATGCATGCATGGGAATCAAATTATAAATTGGATAAAACACATATTTCATACAGCAAACAAATGCACCACTTACAATGTACAAGTATTTAAATACTTATTTAAAGTGACACTGGTTGTATTGTACGATATAAATTACAAAAAAACGCTAGTTATAGTTTTCATCACATCCTTTCCCCTTGAGTGTTATATTATTTTGTATTGTAGATACAAAAGGGTCTTACTTACATTTTTATCAAAACTAAAGAAATGTTTGGAAAAATTCACAAATAATTGAAGTTAAAATTTTCATAAAATCTCTCAAAATTGTGACAAACACCAATTGATTTGTAAGATAAGTGTTTACTTATAGAAATAACTCAAAATACAGACAGTGTCGCTTTATTTAAATGGATTTTTATTTTTTTTTATAAAATACGCACAAATTCATAGATTTGCTTTTTCTCATATGAATGAATAATTTGCTTCTAGATATTGTAAATCTACAGTGTTGTATCCCTGTTTTGTATTGATGAAGTGATGAGGGCAATTTACTATATGTTATCATCTGAATGTGTTATGCTCTGAATGTGTTATCTTTTGAATGCTCTAGCATGAGACATATATTCAATATATATCCTTTATATATCATCTATGAAAGTTGTTTATTTACTTATACAAATTGCTTTCTTTGTTGTATTCAATATCATTTAACATAACCTTTATTGACATATTGTATCATTACATGATTATTTAAAAAATTAAATATTATTTATATAGTATTTAAGGATTTAAGCCCAAAGATCAATAAATTGTGGATGATTTTAAGCACAAGGGTCTTATATGAAACTTTGAAGGTTTAAATCTGGTTAATTTGAGTAACTGGGGTCATAGATAGGCTGTTTTGATATAGTTTGTGTAATTGTATTGTATTATGTCTTTTAGAATAAGGAACAAGTGTATAAATGTACATGTACTGTTATTATCTGATGTATATACAGCATTCTCTATTTTATCAATGTACTTACTTTCTTTACAATATAAAACTATATGAACTTAAATTCTTTATTATGTAAAATGTACCTGTAATAGCTTCTCTGCTATGGCTTTCATGAATTCTAGCTCACTAACATCTTGCATTTTCTATCATATTGTATTCTATAAATTGTTTGTGTTTCTTCAAAGGATTGTTTCTTTTATGTCTACATTTATTTATTTATCTAATTGATTAAATGTAGATGTATATTAATACATTTACTTAAATTAGAACTGTTATTTATTTATGTACATGTATTTTAGAGAGTAACCCCACGCTGTCCCAGTACTTTGGCGCAGGAGCTCTATGTATTCCACAGATCTGGATTGCTCAAGTAAGTTACTTCTAAACACAATTTCAAACAAACGATGTAACACCTACGTAGGTCTTTGTATTAATTCTTTTTAATGTTTGAGAAGTAACTGCATGTTGTTGAAATGTATATGAATTGTTAAATTAAGTTCATTAGGTTGTTGTCAAGCAAATATAAATCTGTGGAAGAAATTATATGACTTTCGTATAATTTTTCATGCAGGTCAATTTAAAATACATTACAAATATGACCTCAGATAATAGATACATTCATTATTGGGTTATTAAATACTGTTAAAATGTTAAGTATTGCTTATACAAAAAATTCTAATTTTATGTCAGGTCTTTTGTGGTTCGTCCTGCTTGCAAGAAAGATGATGACCAAGTGGAGAAATTGGTGTCAACTCTAGATCTCCACGGCAACCTATTAGCAGACCTGACACAGTTCAACCGTGCTAGACGCGACCAGGTAATCTTCAGAGAGTACAGTTTCTCATTGTTTGAAACTATGATTGAATCATTTATAAAATTAGTTTCACATTTGAATGTTTCAAAATCAAATCCTAATCTAAGAGTAGCCAGTAACTAAACTGACTCTTCCTTGAGAAGAAACTGAAATTTGCAGACTTTCTTCTGTCCCATTTTTATATCCCTTATACCTTCCATAGGCATAGCCAGGGGGGGTGCGATGGATTGCACCCCCCCCCATAGCAAATAAAAAATATAACCATGAGAAAGAGGAAGAAAAGAGCTTTGAAGGTAAATCTTAATTTTTTGGCTTGTTTATGCCACAATCGCACCCCCTGACTGAATCCGAATTTTTTTGGCGATCACATCCCCCCTGACTGAAAGCTGGCTACGCCCCTTCCTTCCATACATGTTATTAGAAACCTGCATTGTGAATACCTCTTAAAATGAACAATTTCAGCAAGCCTCTTCTTGAGTTTTCCCCTTTACATGTCAAGTTTAATTGTAGTTGACATTTGCGCTGATTCTTAATTTAAAGATATTTCTAAGATGATAAGCAAATGAGATGACTCTCCTTAAGGAGACACTGAAATTTTCTTCTGTCTCGCATACTCTCATGTCTCATAGTGAACACTCAGCCAGTATCAACTCACATTTTTCACTTTACACACATTTTAGTAAAGTTCACAACAATGGTCTTCAGGACTGTCAATAGATGGCATAGAATTCAGTAGGTTTAATAGCATACTTCGCCATGTAAAAATTGCTCTAAAAATCTCCCAAGATAAATTTTCTTAGTTCTGTAGTTAACATTTGCGCCGATTCTTATTCAGGATGGCACGGAGATCAATGCATTCGTGGCAGAGGTGTTGGATCAAATAGTTGGAGTGGCCATAGTAAGACGTGAAGAAGACATTGAGTATATACGATCACATTACAACATAGAGGATTTCATATATTTCAATCACCATAGAAGGGATGAACACGGCCACTTGCATCATTTTGCTTTGAATCCTGTCTTCAAACACTACAGCAAACATTTCCTTAAGGTGAGGCATATTTAGAAAAAGTCAGCAATTGAGGCCACACGAGGTATAACTAGAGCCAGATAATGTAACACATCGGGTCTCTGTTTAATGAAATTGTTTTGTAGAAATCGATACAACATGTATGTTTTAATCATAAAATATTAATGGTAACAGCCATGCCTTGTCTTGATCACATTAACTAATGTTTAATGAACAACTGTATGTGGAACATCACCCAAGTGGAATGCTATTTTGAGTTATCAAAGCTGTTCTACAGGTTATACTGTATCAATAGTTTTGGCTTCTTTTAAGAAGAGTAATCTTATTAAATACAGAAATGAATTTGTGCATCAATTATATTGTTTTCCACATTAAAAGTAAAATGGGAATTTATGTGTCATATCAATACAATATGTTTTACTTTTTAGGAAATCCTGCGCCAGGCCCACAAAACATGTCTTTACTACCCCCTTTACCCATCATATGTGGAGAAAGAGGTACATCTACATATATAAGATTAAACCTTATTTTTAAAAAAACTTTGTCTCATAATTTATCATTATTTTTGAAATAAGCCATAAGCCACTGTGATATCCCTTGTTATATAATACCTAACCTCAGAATTCATGTAACATTATAAGAATAAAATATTCAGTGATCATTTGCAGAAAACCTGAACCATTTGTCTTATTATACGCTCATATATGTAGAAAATGTAGCACAAATGCTGGGCTTTTCAAAAATTCCAAGAATGGGACAAAGAAGCCAATCCTTTCTGACATCCCTATATACTCATCTATAGTAATATGTTTATAAAATGACTCTGTAGGTTGTCAATCAGCACTCCCTGGTGTCAGCCCTTCATGATATGGTTCCCGTAAGATCAAGACGGCAAATTACCTATCCCAGGGATATTCTTGGCATGCCCCACAACCTCCCATCAGACAGAGTTCTGGAAAAGCAGCAGAGTTATGCCTTGAACCATATTAATAGAAAGCTAACACTTGAGCCTAAAGTCACAGTGAATGCACGAATTGTCGTCGTTGGGGCTTCAGATGTGGGAATTAGCTTCTTGGAGACATTTGCATTCTGGTAAGTGCAAGTGAACACTATTTTTATGGTTTACTTTCTTTTTATAGTATGGTTTACTTCAAATATCAGCACCAAGAAGTAATGACATATTTGTTATATCCTTCAGTTTTTTGTTGCCAGCATTTGGTATTGGCATAAGTGGTTGGTGTCAAATTGTTACACTTTTGTAATCATTGGAAGATGGTGACATTTTGTTATCTTAATTCCATGTTGTTCTTCTTATACAGTGCTTCATGATTTCGCAAAAATATTTTTTATGAATTTACTTTCAATAAATCATGTAATCAATCAAACCCTAACATACAATTACTTCAGTGTGAATCAAGATTTTCATGATATGATTTAAGATGTTTTCTCTTTACCAATAAAGTTTCTGTTTATATTTCAGTCCACATTTACGTTTCAACAACCTCACAATGATCTCTCCCCATGGTCTGCCAGGAGAGCTGCCCCCTGATACTCTGAGGGACAATATGCTGGGCTCCAGTGAGTGCTACACAGAGGAGGATTACGCTACCATGTCCCTTAGGACCTGGGTCAATGTGGTTTATGGGAAAATGACATTCATTGACAGGTAAACAAGAATAAAAAGCTGTATCACAGTGCTTGTACTCATACAATTGTTCAGCCATAATAAAAGGGTATATTTGAATTTCAGATGTTAAATAAAGTAGAGCAAAAATTATACCACATAAAATTCTAATAGAAAAAAAAGTATTTTAACTAGGTATGTTATTTAAAGAATGAAACAACAGAAAACTATGAATTATTTGTAATTCATAAATATCAACAACAAAACTTGTGAATCATAATTTAAATATTTCAGAAATAAAAAGTTTGTGGTTGTGAATGGTGACACTATTGTGCCATATGAACACTTGGTTTTGTGTACGGGGTCACAATACCAGTTCCCTGCTCCAACAGAAGCTGACATCAGCAAACTCGCCACAACAAGTGAAGCACCCCACAGGCCTGATAGGCGATACAAGGGTGTCCCACCCAAGAACCTGTACATCGTAAATGATGCCTATGATTCAGCTGTTGTGTTATATGAAGTGGAAAACAATCTCTTGAACACTGAAGGTATGTGTTGATCAGTGCTCTCCTTACGCGTCAGACCATGGGACAAATCTGTCTGTCAGTCCGAGTCCGAGTGTCCGTTGGTCCTGTGACTAATTTTGCCTTAAGGAGAGCACTGGTGTGGATTATTAAAAGAAGCCATATAGATTCATCAAATGTCAAAATAAACATTTGAGTGACAATTTTGATACACAGAAACACCTGTACTAGTGAACACCTCTCTCTAGTGAACATCTGCCTAGTGAACACCCTTTTACTTATACTCTACTGACTTCTGTATAAATTTCCCTCTCTGTAGTGAACACCTACCTTACAGCCATCACATTTTTGTGGCTCCATAGGTGTTCACTGTATACAGGTTTTACTGTACAGTAGTCCCCTATTAAGTGATCATTTATCACAGTTGTTTTGAGTGATATCTTATATAAAATCAGTGAATAACATGAATTAAAAAATGATGTGTTTTATAGATGTCACTTGTTGTATATTACAGGCAAAGCTCTAGTGTACGGCAACTCTTTAGATGCTTATTGCTGTGTCCAGACCTTACTTACAATGGGTGTCCCTGGTGAACGCATCATCCTTGTAGAACCACCCTTGAACTACCAGACCAGATGCTTTAACAACATAACCATCGAAGACACTATCTTTAAAGCAATGAAAGATTGCGGCATACAAATATTCTCAGATTTCACGCTAGCACAATGGAATGATGGGAAGGGTGGGGAGGAAATTTATGCTGCTTCGTTTACATCAAGTACAAAACCAATGCGTTTAGAATGTTCAGTAAGTATTAAGTTCAGACTGTAGCTGATTTTGTGTCTTTACAACTGACTAGCATTTGGATACCCATCACATCTTCCTATTTCGCAACTCTACTATTGTCTTGCAAAGAAAGGGAATGCCTTTGTTTACTTTGGCTTTGACAACTGATTTGTAAAGCATTCCAACTTCTTGGAATTTTTTTTTAATTTAGCAGTTGGCTCCTTAATCAATATTCAATATACTCAATATTCAAAAAAATAAGTGATATATTTGCATTCATTCTAATATGGCATTTCATAAATGATTTATTTTTACAGGCTGTGTTTGCATTCTATCAGAAACAAGTTGATGTTGATGCCTTTAAAGGTAAATATTTTACATTTTTTATGTCTCCATCACTACAGCTTTGAATCTTCAGGAATGCCTGTGCATGATCATAATTTCTTGTTTAAAATATAGTGTCACTTGTTTTTCAATATAACACTCATTTCACGCTCAAATTCAGGAATGCTCGATGATTTTAGGTCTGATTAGTCTTTGAAGCATGCTGGGTACATTTCGAGACAGCCTTTCAGAATTTCCCATAGATCTTGCCATCCCATTAATTTATAACTAAAGCATTTGATCACATTGTGTTCTCATCCTTGTACCTTTTATATCGAAATACATGAGCTGAATTTTCTTCTTAGAGGCAACAAAATTAGTTCCTATTAATTCCAATTATCTTCCAAGGCTTTGTGTTTCATTAATGGCATTGATTGAGTTAATAGAAGAAGAAATAATCATTCAAATGTATAGTTCCATGAAATTATGACCAATGAAATGATTGAGAACACTTCAAATTGGGGCATTTATTTTTATTTGAGAATGTGCCTTAGACTGTAGTATAACATAGATTAGGAAATCCTTTTTTGCCTCGTAATATTTTTCGGCTTATGCAGGATTAAAAACCATTATACAGTAAAACCTGACTAATCCTATCGCCATTCGGACAGGCTAAAAGCATTTGAATTAGGAGATGTTTAGATTTTGGGGTTTTTGCATCCTTAAGATTCTGGATTATGAAGAAATACAAATGCATTTTCGATGAATATTAATATTTCTATTGACTACATAGCTTTATGACATTCCAAAAATTGATTCAAATGAATTTAGTGATAATAGAAAGAGCCATTATGATTGAAACTATTTGACTTTTTTTCAAAAGTTTTGATATAATAACAAATAATAACAAATCAGTGTCATATTGAAAATATTTGCGCAATTTTGTAAGAAATATGCGATATTTTGTGAAAAGTGTTCAGATGACACAGGTTAATATGAGTGTTCATTGTTCGTATTAAGAGACGTTCAGATTTCAATTTTTTAACATGGAAGTCAATGGGAGGAAAAATTGGACTGGAAAAAAGTTTGGATTGGAAGGTGTTCAGATTAGCCAGGAATTTGGATATACAGGTTTCACTGTATAGAGGTTCATTTGTTGTGTTAAGTTAATAGAAAATGGGGCTAAAGTTCTACTAATGGAGATGGCCCAGTTAAAGTGGTGTTCCATTTTCCAGGTTTTACTGTATACGCACTCAGATTATTTCCATAAGAAAGACAAAGGAGCTGTAGAGTTAAATATATTAATCTATTAATAACTTGTTGATGTTTACACTTGAGTACCTAAAGCGGTTAACCATCAGCAGCATGCTGGATTTATTCATTAATTCAACCATGATTTATCACTCATGAATAGAAATTACACATACACTTGTATTCCTAAATAATTTATTTGTATATTTGTTCTTTTTACATAGACAAAATATTAATACAAGTATGATACATTCAATTTTATTGTACAGGTATATCTGTATCTCTAATACAGTTTATTATACAGAGAAATTCTTTATAAATCAGCAGAACTTCTTGATTATAGAATATGTTACAATCTTTGAGAATACTAGGTGTAAAATATAATGGTCCCTGGTTTCTCCCAGCTAAATAATACTATAATTACTTGTTACTTTCTTGGTAATATCCTTGCTCTTGAAGATTGTATTTTGTTCTATTCAAACATGTTTCTATACTTTACCTCTCAATAATGATTTCAACAAAAGTTACACATAATGTATCGGATTTCAACCATCAAGGGTGCTTATATTCCAGCCATCAATAATGGTTACAAGGAAAATAACACTAAATGTTTACAGTGTAGCCATCGATGATGGTTGCAAGAAAAATAACACTAAATGTTTATTTTTCAGCCATCAATAATGGTTGCAAGGAAAATAACACTAAATGTTTATATTTCAGCCATCAGTGATGGATGCAAGAAAAATAACACCAAATGTTTATATTTCAGCCATCAGTGATGGATGCAAGGAAAATAACACTAAATGTTTATTTTTCAGCCATCAATGATGGTTGCAAGGAAAATAACACTAAATGTTTATATTTCAGCCATCAGTGATGGATGCAAGAAAAATAACACTAAATGTTTATTTTTCAGCCATCAATGATGGTTGCAAGGAAAATAACACTAAATGTTTATATTTCAGCCATCAGTGATGGATGCAAGAAAAATAACACTAAATGTTTATTTTTCAACCATTATTGATGGTTGCAAGGAAAATAACACTAAATGTTTATATTTCAGCCATTATTGATGGTTGCAAGGAAAATAACACCAAATCTTTACTTTTCAGCCATCAATGATGGTTGCAAGAAAAATAACACTAAATGTTTATATTTCAGCCATTATTGATGGTTGCAAGGAAAATAGCACTAAATGTTTATTTTTCAGCTATCAATGATGCTTGTTTGGTGTATGATGGGAGGTTGGTGATTGATGCAGAGTTCCATACCAATGATCCATCCATTCGAGGAGCTGGGTCCCTTACAAAGTTCCAGAGATCCTACCACGCAGATCAGTGGACCCATACTAACTTTAATTCTAAGGAGGTTGGAATCCAGGTAGGTTTCTCTACATGTATTTGACAGTCATGTTCAGTCATACAAAAATGATTTGAAAATCTGAAGGGATTTTTATTGCACTTAAAAGTAGAGATTTCTGTACTGGAATAGCAAGCCCCTACCCTACTTACTGATTACTTGTATATTATATTTTCACTACAAGTGCAATGTAGTCCATTCAGATGCAGATTTTGGTCTGTACAGAAAGTATAAAGCATGGTTACCCATATCTTGACTCTGCTGATATGTGTGGTGTGGCGTGAGAGTTTTGTTGACTATGGGACTTTTGTTGACTATGTTGACTTGATGAATTTTGTAGACTATAGGAATTTTGTTGACTTTTTGAGTGTTGACTATGTGTATTTTTGTTACTATGAGAAATTTGTTGACTGTGTGAGTTTTGCGGACAGTGAGGGTTTTGTGGACTTTCAGAAATTTGTGGACAATGTGGATTTTGTTGAGTAATATAGGAAATGTGTTGATTTTGAGAATGTTGACTATGAGTTGAGTTATGAGCATTGTGTTGTTGACTGCTTAGGTTATGTTGTTGAATAATTGAATGTTGTTGAATATGTTGCTGTTGACTATGTGAATGTTGACTATGTGAATGTTGACTATGCGAATGCTGGCTATGCGAATGTTGACTATGCGAATGTCTTGAACAGTGTTTACTATTATTCTGTTTAGAAGACTGATTCTTGGAATGTCGTTTGTTCGTTATCACAATAAGTTTGTGTTTCTTCTTTCCCGGGGACCCATATCTGCGTACAACTGAAGATCTTATTTGAGAAATTTCCAGATCTTCACCCCATTTTAAACCCCATAGTCGCCCTATAGCAAATCGTATTTTACGATTCATGTACGCATACAGTATAGGATTCACTGAACTGTTAGCATGGCTTAAAAGGATAGCACCATGAAACCATGCAAGGGAGATGTTACAATGCGGACATAGCAGCTTTATGGTGTTTACGATATGTAGTGGTAGCCAGCAGATTGCGAATAACACAACTAGTATAACAAGTGATTTCGCTGCTCGTCGTTCTTTAAGAAAGATCACTCGTTTATTTCTAACGTCGGATACTTGTGGCGAGCCATCGCCAACTTGAAGACTCGCAATTTTCTTGGTCTGTTTATGGATGATGATGAAGATATACATGTACATTCCCAGCATGACGACTAAGGGTGCAAGAACACATGCGAAAAAGTTAAAATAAACCATATACTGCATATCAATAACTTTCATGAAGTGACATTTTCCTCCATCTAGATTAGGCCCAAGATTCCATCCAAACATAGGTAATAATCCAATAAAGATGGCGGCCAGCCATGTGCATATTATCACCCATGCTGTAAAGTTCCCGCCACAGTGACGCTGATAGCGATATGGTTCTTTGATCGCGATGAATCTTTCTGTTGCTATAGACAACAAACTGAAGATTGAACTCTGAGTCAAGATTACAACGAGAGAGTTCATAAACAGGCATCCGTAGAAATCATATGGCAGTCCATTGGCTGTGATCAGTGCGAATGGAATCGCGAATAACCCCACAAGTAGATCAGCTGCTGCGAGATTTGCGATGAAATAGTTGGTTATACTATGTAGGTGCTTATGTTTGTAGACTATGTACAGAACTAATGCATTAGCCACCACAGCGGTAATGGCAATGACAACTTCTAGTACCACATATATAATGTTACCTACATCCATCGTGTCTTTTCAAAATGTTCTCCTGAAACTGTTTCTGTTGGTTGCTTTATTGTTTATTTTATCCAGATATGTGTTTCTGTAGTCTCGTTGATTGTCTATTTTGTCTTGTTAATTGCTCTTCTTGGCTGGTATATTTTGTCTGGTTGATTGTTTCTCTTGGGTGGTTGATTGTTTCTATTATCTTGTTGATTGTTCATACAGACAGATTGATTGGTTTTGCCTGCAACAGACAATGTTGGTGTCAGTTTATCTAACGGAATCAAGTTCATGTAACTTAATTACTGCGTGTCTGACTGTCTTCACTAAACAGTAGAATATTCCAGATTCCTTACTAAAAGGGATGCCATCGCCTAAATACTAATGACAATTTGTCTTTGTAATTCGTGTAAGTCTTTTCATTAAATCATACACGGAGATCCTCTATTGGTTAATTGTTCAATCACATTAACTCCCCAATAATATGTTACTTAAGTCTAATTCGAAATGTTATAATAACGTAAATTAACTCCTTTGCTGAATTTAGCTATTAATTCACTTCAGCCATGCACTTTGTAATTTTAGAATTGATTGATAATTTAACTGTTAAAGTAATCATGTTACTTTCATCATGGTTGATTGGTTTGGCTATAGAGTCAGTGTACTCGCTCTGTCAGTTATAACTGGAGAGTATCAGTATATTCTTACTTGTACCTAATGTCCTCACACTTTTGTCACGTTTTGTCACGTATATGACCTGAAATTATCCCTCACATTTACTAACTCAATTGATGCAACTTCGGCTATGGTATTCCGATGGTGAACTGCAGCGTGTTAGCGTTAACTTCCTTGAATTATCAACCAATCAAATACCATGTTTCTATTATCAGTTTTATCAAATATAATTCTGAATGTCAGCTGAACAAGGTTAATCAAATTGGTATATAAACGCTATTGTTTATCTGTAATGTAAATTTCCCCTCTTCTGGGATTATCTCGAGTTTGACAGTTTCGCAAGAACTAATGCAGGTGGGGTCTTCGGTGCATCAACTGCATACATAAAACATGGTTTTTATATCAGTTATATCGGCCAATCATTGTTGATTCATTCAGGTCTGTCATCGCTGATCATCTGTAAGAAAAACATCTAAATATAGACATGTTATATCTAGGTTGTAAATTAAACATAAAATTAAGATTGATCGTTAGGAAAAAGTAATTCCTTGAAAGCAGTATAGTGAGATTTATAGACAGAAAAAATAAAAGAAGAAATAATAATCCATTTCAGAGAGCAATTTGAAATATGCAAGATTTCGCAAATTAAATGTATTTGATGATTTAATGCAATTGCCTTAAATGAATTATTACGTGCAGTGAGGTAATTTTTAGAAATGCTACTTTTTTAGTATAAGTTATTGGGCCCATTAACTGTTTGTCAGAGCAACCTATATACATCAGCAAATGCTTGTAGTACTGTATACATTTTTATCAACTCAGTAAGTACATGGAGAAAGAAATTGTAGAAGTTAACCTCCACCTTGTGATAGAATGTCACTCTGATCAAGTTAGGCCAAAGTAATTAGTCTTGTGTTAGGTCCATGTTGAGACTTGTTTTGTGTTTCCAAATTCTCAAAACTTGAATTTAGTTATGTATGAGTATAACATATTTTTGTTGAAATAGTTCATATCTGTTAAAGATGTAGTTTAATTGCCATAAGTACGGCAGGAATTATTTTTGTTTGATTTGAAATAGATGCAAGAGAAAGAGATGACTTGGGGTGAGTTGACTTAGATTGACTTGACTTGAGGTTGAGTTAACCAATTACCTAAGAGGATATGGTAAACATTTATTTTTTATCCTGGCCTTAATTAAACTCAAATTAAGTGAAGAGTAATGTAAATTGCAATGTTTTAATGCTAAATCCATCTTTGAAGCTAGAAGCCAAAAAAATCAGTTTGTTAATTCTACTAGGCACATCAAATGCACAATTAACAAGAGCAAATTGACATTTTTATCAGGGGCTGTATAATCACTATGTTTACAGGCAACAAACTAAGCCCTTTGAATATACTTTTTGGGAATTCCCGTCTGTGTCTTTTTGCACAGCCAGTCTTGTCTTTTATCTGGAGTGTTCTTGACCTTGTTTTTGGATGGAAAAATGTGAAGTAGAACTGTAGAAATTAAATTGTAGTTTAAATAAAGGTATGCACTCTTTTACAGATTGTCCAAATGTTTTATTTTATAATTCTCTATGCTTTTCTTCATGTGATTTGGCTTTGTTATTTCAAAAATTACTGTTTGGTTTCTTATTATTGATCATAAGAAACCTTTAAAAAAATACTTTAATTTTGTGATAGAAAGGATATATTTTTGTGATTATTTCTAAGCTATGTGGCTCAAAGAACATAAATTTTAGTATAATGGCTCATATCACTTTTTAAAACTCACGGCTCTTCCAAAAGATGCCTTTTAGCGTGGGCTTTCAAGAACTAGAAAAGTTCACACACAACACATTTAACTTGTATAAGGTAAGACTTCAACATGAGTTAAAGTGGTTTAAACTTTTTTAATGACAAAAAAACTATAATTCAAGTTCATAAACATTCTTTTAAGAAATTCTCAAATGAGTGAGTAGTTTTACCCAAAGGGTCAGAGCCTAGCAACATTTGACGAATCTCTCTTTGAAAGAAGCAAAATCATATCATAGAAAGGGCACTACAGTTTGTACATGGTATCCAGGAAGATTGTTAGTGCTAGAACCATTGGTTTGTTAAAGAGGTTCACAATTCATAGATCTTTGTTAAATAATTGCTTTTATTGTAACAGGCTATTCACAGAAGCATTGGATCTAGTCTTGCATCAAGCCCCTGCTCTCCCATTTTCTGTTTCCATACTTGTAAAGACATAATCTTGTAAAGAAGGTATACATGTCAGTAGGGGTGTATACAAGGGCTTGGTGCAAGACTACACAGAAGCATTGGATCTAGTCTTGCATCAAAACCCTGCTCTCCCATTATCTGTTTCCATACTTGTAAAGAAGGTATACATGTCAGTTGGGGTGTATACAAGGGCTTGGTGCAAGGCTATTCAGGAGCAATAGAGCTAGTCTAGCATCAAGCCTCTGCTCCCCATTATCTGTTTCAATACTTGTATAGAAGGTATACATGTTAGTAGGGGTGTATACAAGGGCTTGGTGTAAGGCTACACAGGAGCATTGGAGCTAGTCTTGCATCAAGCTGCTCCTCTCCCATTATCTGTTTCCATACTTGTATAGAAGGTATACATGTCAGTAGGGGTGCAAGACTTCACAGAAGCAATAATACCTCAATTAAATCATGAATGTTCTAAGCCATATGAATTATTGACTTTCCATCTGGGAAGTTTTATTGCTGTCAACAATTTCAATTTTTTCCATTTTGAATGTGAATACAGTAACATTCTGTAAGCTTGATGCTCATGAAGAAACTAATATAAATATTGTTTCGGAATAAAAACAAATCGCTTAATACATTTAACGATACTAAAATCGGTTAATTCCTATGCATTTTATGGGGTGATATAATTTTCAGTTCAATGCACTCATTCAAGAAATTGTTCAACATGAGACAGCCTCTCCATCACATTGGTTACCCTCTAAAGGAGTAAAGGAGACATTCACTTTTATTATTTTTTATTACTCTTTCACTCAGAAAAAATCATTGGATCTATATATTTCTAACACGAATGTATGTTGCACAAAAATCTAGTCTTGCTTCAAGACCCCCACTCCATACCCCTTGCTTCATCAACAGGTTGTTGAAATAAATAGGGGGGGGGGGTCTAGGGTCTTGAAGCTAGTCTAACAAAGATCCTACATATTACATATTGAAACCCCAAGAGAATACCATTAAAGCAAAAAGCTCCAATAGTTTCTTCAAGATCTTAGAGTGTAGAACTTTAATGCTGCCCTTTGAATATCAGGGTGCAAATTGTTGTCTTTTATTTGCAAGTTGTGTTCTAGACTGTGTATTTGCATAATCTTTGTCTATGAAATATGGTCACTGAAATGTTATCACAATGACATTTTTGTGCTGTATAATAATTAGAGATCAAGGAAAGTAGAAAATAGACTTCCGTATTTCTTTATTTAATATGAAGATTAACTTATTTTATATCCCTTTGTTGTTATTTATTTGATTATTAGTCTGGGAAATTGCTGATATTACTTTTCAATTACCCTGTGCCCAGAGGCGAGAAGTAATAAGATGAAGCTCTCTTTTAAGAAACAGAATCAGTTATTGAAAAACGTACACATTGCGATCTTGATATATTGAGTCATTTTGAATGTTGGAAGTGAAGTACTATTTTTCCTGAATTTAGTATGCATGGTAGACTTTATAATAAATCATATTCATAAAACAATAAGTAATCCATTTATTGCATTGTCTTATTGATATTGGTAAAAAGGAATTAGTCAAGTGCATCGAGAAATGTTTACAATTTGTAAAAATGACTTCTGGTTTATAAAGTTCATATTCTGCAGGCTTATTTAATGCCTTGGTCACATTTGCTCCGATTTTCACAACAGCACCAGGCCGATTGAGTATTTTGTTCAAAATTGAATACAGTATTGAACAAAACACTCAAGTGGCCAGGCGCCGGCTGATGGATCGGAGCATACGTGACCCAGGCATTAGTCAAATATGGGGCATTAAACAACTCTTCATAATAAAATGAAAGTTACTTGCAAAAACAATATTGTGATTATTTATTTATTTATTTGAGGTACAATTATCTCACACAGACACCATATGGCATATACGTGTGTTAGGATAATGTAACTTGATATCTGTAGGTAGAAACAAACCCCATATTATGGTTGATTGTTTGTATATTATATGAGGAAATCCTTCAAAAATAGGTCATATTTCTGCACAGATTGAGATGATGGCTCTTTCATATTGTTTCTGGCAATAAATAAATGTTATTTTATTCATTATTCAAAACGTGGTCTTCATTGAGAAGCAATAACGTCTTGTGTCTTCAATCTAGATCGTAAATCTTGTAACTCTCTTAGCGTAAAACTTATTTTCTTCATGGAGATTATCACACAGATGGTTATTTTGTACTTTATAAAGATAATTACACTATCTTTATTTGGCTGCTGCCAAAAAGTGATTTCCTTCAAAAGAGTTGTGTTTTTCAAATTGTACTTTTCTGAATTCTGTCGATCGAAACAATTCCTTGTAGAAATTTTATTCTGCATACTTTATTTCTTATTACTGGAACTTACCATTATGCAGATGTTATCATTTATCATCATGACCAAGAAGTGATGACATGTTTTTTATGACTGGCATACAGATTTTTATGACTGGCATATATGTTTCCTATGACTGGCATACAGATTTTTTATGACTGGCATATATGTTTTTATGACTGGCATACACAGTTTTTTATGACTGGCATATATGTTTCTTATGACTGGCATACAGATTTTTTATGACTGGCATATATGTTTCTTATGACTGGCATACAGATTTTTTATGACTGACATATATGTTTTTTATGACTGGCATACAGATTTTTTTATAACTGGCATATATGTTTTTATGACTGGCATACAGATTTTTTGTGACTGGCATCAAACATCAGTTTCTTTAACAATTGTTACACTTTTGTAGCTATTTGAAGGTGTGACATTTTGTCATTGTCATGCTTTTAGGTACAATTATTGTAAAAGGACAATACGTTCAGAGTTATCCTATGTATTAAATTGAAGGATTTCTAAATATCATCCAGATGTCATATGGCATCGATACATTAAATACCAGGAGTGACCCCGGGTAAAATAACATCAACATCGCAGAAAGTTTGACACTTAACTTGAAATTGATAAAATTAATCGACCAATTAGGATCTAGCTTTTGTCATGTAGTAGGAAGGCTGTATCATTCTAACATATTTAAGTAAATAAATTCATGGCAGTTTAAATGAAAATAAAAATATTTTGTTTTTTCATTGGCTCTATTGGAAATTTACCCGACCTAGAGATCACGTTTTCCCAAAACTTCTAGATGTATTTTTGTATGTGTGGGGGTCTAATATGATATCACTCTGGCGAAGTATGAATGATAAATCATGAAAATGAAGTTTATTTTTATTGGCATCTAGTCAGTTGTCAAATGATCTCTCAAAATATCAAGTAATAAGTGTCTTGAAAAACTATAGAGTGAGTGATTTTATGATGGCAAGTTAGGTATTTGCTTGAAAAAAAAAAGTACAGAGTTATTTAATAAATGCAAGTTCTGCATTTGTTTGGAAAAGGACAGAGTAATTTTATGTTGCCCAGTTAAACAATTATATACCTACAATATACTTGATGTTTATGATATGTGTATAAGTAAAAACATTAAATACATGTGCATTGATTATGTCAGTCAGACGTGCAAGCCACAATAGTCAAAGTTAAGTGTCTTATCTTCTATTCTATGCTAACTTAATAAATATTTTGAATCTATTGTATCTTCATATTCATTTCTTTTCACTTCTGTATTTCAGAAATGCAGCATTAGGAAATTAATATTATGCATTTATCCATTTCTGACTTGCAATCGGTTCATGCAATTCATTCATCTGGGAAAGTATTTTTTCCTGAGTCTTTAACATTTTTATTGAATCTAGTATATTAACTCCTGTATATTAGATTTCAATAATGTATGCTTACTTGATATTATTTTTTCCAATTGTTTGCATTTAAAAGCATGAATACCATGATGTGTTACAGTTCAGTTGAAATGATTGTTGTTTTGTTGTTTTGATGTTTTGAAAAACAAGATTAAATTACTTCTTACCTGCATGGAGTATCTATTTGGTTTATCTCAGTTATAGTTTCATTTATTGATGAAAATATTTAATAATCTGTTATCTCCTTTCTGCAGTCGCTTTCTAATATTCTCTCTGACAGGAGTTCAAATATTGTCCTTATTTCCACATCATCATGGCTAATAAACTTCAAGTTCTTCCATATTAATAAACCACTGAATCGTTTATTAAAACATTTTTCAATTTAAACCTACTGCCAGTCCCTCTATGTCAATATGAGTTTGAAATTCTTCGGTTTTTCCTAGAATCAGATTAAGTTTGCAATCGGTAGTAAAGTCTTGTTGATAGCTACTAGTATTTTAAATGGTCTGATATCTCATAGGTAAACACTGGATTTTAGGAGCATATGATAATTTCAGCCAATCCCAGAGCTATCAGCAATCTGGCAGTTAATACTGCATCATCGGTAATCGCCATAGTAATTATTAGACTCACGTCCCCATTCTTGCCTCTCTCTATCTATTAATCTGTTCAGTATAAATATACGTTGCAACATAGCTTTAATATGGGACAGATTCTTGTAGGTACGTGGTCAGTAAAACCTGGGCTAGATGTAGGACACATTGGATATTGTATACCATATACTGAATACTCTAAAATGTGTTCACAAGAGAGGGATGATCTGTTAAAAGAATGCTACTAGAAGTTTACTTGAAAAAAGTATTCACTTAAGGGCAAAAGAGAAAAGAGAGAACTGGTATAAGATGTTCACAAGAGCAAGGTTTTCTCCAGAGAAAAGTGTTCACTGGGTTAAGATTTTCATGAGAGCAAGGACAGGTGTTCACCAGAGCAAGGTGTTTACTAGGTTAAGTTAAGGTTTTCCAAGGTTTTCACTAGAGAAATATGTTCACTAAAACATCGTGGTCCCAAGAACAAGGTGTTCACTTGACAAAAGTGTTCACAAGAGCAAGGTGTTCACTAGAGCATGGTGGTCCCTAGAGCAATGTGCTTAATTGGGCAATGTAATTAGCATAGCATGGTGTTTACCATATATTAGAGCAGGTGTTCACTAGAGAGGGACTGTTAAATAGGAGGCATCAGGCTGTAAGGTTTTTCCTAGAATGAGATGAGATAACCAAGGTCTACACCTTCCTGCCAGCTTCACCCACTCAGAGAGTGTTTCCTGCTGCATGCATCTCTGCACATACATTCCTTGAATCACTACTTATGAACTGATGCAACTTGAATATTCCTTGAATCAATATCTATTAACGGAAGCAACTTCTATTATTCTTTGAATCGATACCTATTAACGGATGCAATATTTGAAATTTTAACCGGAAAGACGAACCTGTGGGAATATTTTGGGCAGTATTCCAAAGTATTTTCTTCACGTAGCTGCCCCAGTAGCAGTAATAAAGCTAAATGGTTCATCTCATTTCTGATGTAGCGAATCGTAGCTTTATTGTAAAGAAACATGGAAGCCTGACGTCACAAGCAGTTTCACAAAATGTAGATTGTCTATGGCTGAACTTTATTAATTGAAAGTTATTCATTGCCACTGTGTGTATTTCCATTTGTTATGATGTAAGGATTTTTATTGTATCCAGAAACAATGTCAGGTAAAATGTTTAAAAAACCAGTTGCATAAAAATATCAAACCCCATAAACCATATCAATCATTTTAACAAACAGAGGGAGAGTAACAAATACGAATATATAAGTATATTCAAGATCATCTTCAAAAATCAAATATGGAAAAATTAAAAGCCCATTTGTATCTTAAGAGATGAAGCTATCAAAATGGATGGTGGTACATCTCTTTATGGTAAATATTATATTGTCAGGTGGGATTTGCTATTCCATGGAGTTGTCATTTTCTAGTTAATCGGAGCAGATCAAAAATTTTTGCACTAGGCATACCATAATACATGTAGTAAAAATAAATGATGTGAGAAAGCACAAAGGCCAACATCAGGAGAATATAACTCAAACCTCTATAAACAATGAACATTATGAACATGTTTGAAAAATCTACAATTATGCAAATTAAAAAATCACAATATTTACAATCAATGGAGCAAGCCACAATGAAATATCAATGAATGTGCAATTCATATGTCATTTGGCATATAATTCATCTTAGTTTTCTTGATTCTAAAATGACACCATTTTTGACAGACATCTCCCTCAAAGTCTGACATCAGGGGAACACTTATTTATTTTACATATTTATATTTATTCATTTTTTATTTGTAGAATATTGCGATGGTCTAGTTTTGTCAAAGGCACTGGTACACGGAGGAAGTTCAATGGCTTAATTAAAGTAAAAGCCTGTGCTTACTTTGTTTAAATTGATGGTTTATTTATATCAGTTTGTTACGTCATTAGGGGAATGACATATTGCCTTTTCCAGGGCCTCTCTGGTAACATGTCATCTTACTCATGCTTATCACAATCCATTCTTGATAAAATGAAACTGTTGCACCTTGTATCCCAGTATTTCTATATAATTTACTACCTTCCCTGGATGCTATTGTCCTTTCCCAGTATTCCATCCCTTATAATTACGCTACCTATTTCTCTGTTTTGAGTTTCAGATGTGATATTTCAAACCAGGGGTTCCTAGTCAAAGGTAATTCACTTATAGTACCCTTGGGTTTTGTCATTCTCATCTCTTGGTTATCATTCTTTATCGTTTTTCCACGTAGAACGGAGAGGTGGAGACATTTCGTAATATCCTGATTATTGTGGCTGCTTGTCATTTTTCAGTAAAATATTTACTTAACTCTTACGAGATTGTGCACCAGGAAACACCACAGATGTTCTCGGGGAATTTTCAATGAAAGGTCATCGTACTTGTGAGTAATAACCCCAAGGGTCCCTGCTTCTAAACATTGATATAAAGTACCTGTGTAAGATTATTTGATGTTGTACTTTCCATCTGTATCAAGGACATGTCAGATATTATCTTCCTCCAAGAGTTTTTCAGTTCAGGTCCAATGACTTTTATGAGACAAAAGTATGATTTGTTGAAATGTTGGGGTTGAATAAGGGGTTTAACTTAAAGGCCCCATGGTAAAGTTTATCATTTATTAACTGTTTTTCATGACTTTAAAAGTTATTTTAGAGATTTTTGAAAAAATGGGGAAAATGGTCAGCTTTTTATTTCTTAAATGTTCAAATTTCCTGCTATGTTTAAAATAAAAGTTGACATTTTTAATCATCAAATATTCCACTACATAGAGCAAAACACATTATCTTTTTCACACCATTGTGAAGATTGAACAAAGGCCATACTATATCAATAATAATAAATGTTTTAGCATATCATTTTCGACCAACTTTCAAAATAATCAATGTTAATTGTCTAACTAAGTTGAAAAGAAGATTATGTTTTCAATATTACTGTGCCATTGGGTTCGATGAGAACTAAAATTTTAAAATACATTTTTCTCTGAACTTCTTTCATGCATGGATAAGTTGATTTCTCATTTATTTATCAACCAATTTTCATAATTATTTCTACAAAAAAGACCTGGGGATCGTTGGCTGTTTTGTTTCCAAATCTAGTCTGATCAACAAGCATGGGATGGCTACAGTCAACAACTTATTTATAGCTGTTGCTAATAATAGATTTTATGTTAATGTATTCAACTTCCATTGTCTACCAGAGGTTGATAACCTGCTAATCTGCCTTAAATATAAATATTGCCAGAAGTTAATAAACAATTTTTTCCATATCATCCAAGTTCATTCATACCCTGAGCACAAACTCTTAATAGGTTAGACAATTTTACAGCTAAGCAGCCCTGTCCCAACTGCAGATAGCTTTCACACCTCATGAATCAATGCAAATCTATTATGCTGCCATCTGGTGACAACAAGCTCTGGATGGCTCGGGTTCAGAGATTTTTAGAGTGAAGAAGAAGCTCTCTTTTAAGAAGCTAAGTTAGACAAATGCAAAGGGTTAGTGCATTCAGTAAATCCAATAACAACATTTCATTTGTTTTATTCCAGCAATAAGAAACAATTAATTTTAGCAAGTGTGGTGTATAATCTTCATAGAAATAATAAATAAACACATTTATTATTCATTTTGAATAGGATATACACTGATCGATTGTATACTATAGTAGCTAGGAGACGGAAGAAGATGAAGGATAAATAAATGTGTATCAAGAAATATTTATACAGTTTAAAATACAAAAAAATTGTATGTATATCGGAACACCTCTCTATACTAAACCCCTCTTAATGTGAACCCCTTTTTGGTCCCACTTTTTATTAATTTGTCTTGTTAAAAACCTTGAAATGTGAACAGTTACCAGTTGGCCAGTTCTGGTAGAATTCGTATTAGACAAGTTTTACTGTAGTTGTTACACTTCACTAGAACTCAGGTTCAGCAACACCCTTAACGTCATCCCTTGCATTGACCTTGTCTTTATCATTCAGAATGTGTAGCCAGAAAACCATAACACTATATTTTCTATCAAATATACAGTACTATAATAGTCAAGATTCATGATTTAACTCATATTCCAACTCCTATAAAAGGCAATATAGTCATATGGATATACAGAAACTATAATAGTTAAAATTCATGATTCAATTCATATTCCAACTCCTATAAAAGGCAATATAGTCATATGGATATACAGAGACTATAATCATGATTCAATTCACATTCTAACTCCTATAAAGATTAAAGGCAATATAGTCATATAGGTATACAGTCAAGTCTACAAAAGTCAAGATTCATTTCACATTTAAACTTCTATAAAAGGCAATACAGGTTTTATTAAGTCCATGATTTGAAAGATCAAATGTGTGAAATCTTCTGTAATAGTCAGATATATTAAGGGTGGATAGTTGTTGATTTTTGTCACGCTTTCTTTCTAAAATTGAAAAGTCAAACTTTCTGTGATTCTCATCTTTTATTTGAGAAATGCGATGTTGAAATATGCAACAGTTCCTTAGCTGAGATGCTCAGCTAATTAAAGAATTGAAGACAAGGAAAAATATCAATCCATAGGTCTATTTCTTTGTAGAAATAAAATACAATGTGGTGGATAATTACAACATTGTAAACTATTTCATACGAAAATGTATTTTAGCCTATTTAATAGGTACATGCAAATATGTGTTGGTCAGTATTTTAATATTGGCTTTAAAATCCTTGTTTTTAGTGTTTTTTGATAATCTGATAGTTCAGTAACACTGGACTTATTTCCGTGATTCAATTCAGTACCATGGTTAATGACATATTCCTACTGAAACTTAGTAGTTGCAATGTCTCATATATTCCCCAAACTGCTACATTCAGGTCCATTATTTGGTAATCGAAGCAAGCCATATCAACCAATATGTTACATAACGAATCCTGGACTGTTTCACAGATGAACTTAATTTGT